TCATATTGTCCAGATAAGCAACCACCTTCTCTTTACTTCATAAAGCTATAATAAGTCAGATGAGAAGCATTATAAAATAATTTGTACTAGAACTATGAATCTTAATTGGAAGACTTGAGTATATGCTTCTATATGGTCAATGAGAATTATTACGTTTACATTTTCATATGTCTTCAAATCAATATAGAATCATGGCTAATAAACTTGAGTAAAATTACCTTTTTAACCTGATTGCCAAATTTGCATCATAGAGATGTATAAATTATAGATCTTTCATAATCCACTATTATTCCTTTTAAAAACCAACAAAATTAAATATGATAATGATCAGATCTTGATGGGTCGTGTTTAGCTACGACCTGGGCCCCGTCTTACGAAGAGTTACGATTGATCCAAAACAATCGCAAGTCCTCCAATCAATCGCAAGTTTGCAGTCTCCTATCTCTTATGTACATAGTTGCGATTGATATCAATCGCAAATAAGTTGCCATTGATATCAACTCTTTGTAAGACGGGGCCCAGTTCTTACCAAATAATGTTGTCTGCCTATCATCGGTATAAACATTACATTCTTTAATTTTTTTCTCAGGACAGCGGGGGAGTAAACACAAATTAAACTGGTGTCATTCGAAATTCTAAGAACTTGAAGTTTTGTATAAAAAAGATATTATCATTGCTATTTGCCTTTACATGTGCCCCTGAGGGGGGAAGTAAACTGAATATTATTTTAAGTTTAATAATCATAACTTTAATTATCATAAGTGTGTTAAGTTTAGGTAAAATAATGTTCTTTTACCTTGTAGAGTAATCTATACATTATACATGCAAAGTCTCGAAATCATAGAAAATATTTTCATTTTCTTCGGTTTTCATTTCTTTTTTCTTCTTCTCTTTTTGTATCTGTCGTGTTTATATCAAAATATATCTAATCTAGACAGGTCTATATATAAGCATGATATTTGTCACTCAATATAGATATTAAAAAGCCCCAAAGATCACTAAACCGTGTTAAGCTCTTTCATGACACGCTCTATTATGTATCATTCTACGTAATAAATCAAATTTTATAAAATGCATATTTTTAATGATTTGAATAGTAAACAAATTATTGCACCCGCATAGATCATTCATAGTTATGTAGTTCTCGTAGAGTATGACACTGTATAATTTGGATGTAATTACCATGTTAGGTTTATTTATGTAAGGTTTACTCCTCTGTAGATTTTGTTCTCATATCTGCCAATACAATACAGCATGTTTTTTTTCTTCATATAATAAACTAACATTTTGAAAAGCGAAATCTTCAACACTCAATCTCCTTCGAAAATATTGCCTCAAAAAACAAAATTCAACAAAATTCGGAAAGTTATGGAGTACTCTCAAATTATCATTATCATTACTCTTTCTATCTTGGACGCAATCCCTTCTCTCCCTCCCCTCCTCTCTCTCTCTCACTTTCTCTCTCTCTCTCTCTCTCTGTCTGTCTGTCTCAATCTCTCTCTCCTTTTCTATGTATGGCATACCGCAATAATTGCACCCTAGTCACGCCTCTGACTATTTTCTATGCGCCTCTGGTCAACTCATCTATCTCTGTCAGGGAAATTAGCTGATCATTAGTCATTCCCGTCTCTCTGTACAAGATACTTCAAGATTCACTTCAGACTTTGAGTTCATTTTATACTTCTGATTTTACAATTTGTCTACGTAATACATATTTCAAGTCGCCCATTCCCTCTCTCTCCCTTGCCAAACACACCCATACACACACCCACACTTTCTCTTCCGCTGTAATATATAAGCTGTCTTTCTCGAAACCCTCAATTAATAGCATCCCAATCAGCATCCCTCTTGCTTACCTCAAAGCATATACATCTTTCTGACCATCAGAGTTATATATTTAAAAAAATAAAGACCACGTATAGGTTTTAATTTAATGAAATAGTTGAAAGTGACCGTGTCTTCGTTTCAATATCTACGCTAACCTACCAATCACAATCTCTCTCTCTCTCTCTAACTCTCTTTTCTCCCTCCTTCCCTCTCATTAACACCCTTGCTACAAAACTCACAACCCTATAAATACCAATTGTTCAATGGCTTCTGTTTTTACACAGCTTCATCTACTCTCTAATCAGTTGTCATTCTAAACACACCCTGCAAATAGAAACCCTATACCTGTATTTCAGCAAACTACACCTACACATAATGCATAGAGCAAATACAAATTTAAGGGGAACTGTGAGACAGTTTGTCCCCATTTCAAAGTTTACCCCTCGAATCCGGTCTGAAAAAATAAATGATTCAGGTAAAAACTGACTGGCTTGAAATTATAACTCATTTTAAACATGATTTTCCTCCTACTTATTCTACTGTACTACTTTACAATGCTCTAACTCAGACTAGACTTCTTTTTAACAATATACACATATAGAATAAACGCATTTTGAAAGCAGAAAATTACTCAAAATGTGTTAAGTAATACAATAAATTCATAACATTTTGAATATAATTTCTAAATATAACATTTCCCATGTTAACAGAACTCACTAGGCGCCTGGAAATCACTTGGTCCTTTAAGTGCAATTATTATTATGCTGAAATGAAAAGTATTACGTTCCCTTGTTAGAAATGCGTTAGAAAGTAAAAGTTGTCTAACTATTGCAGTGTGCTAAAGACTTTAAAAAAAATTATGAATTATGTATTTTACGACACTCTTGTTTGTCAATTCGCCTAATTTCTACAATCTAGCGTTATCAAGCAATGAAAATTATATGAATAACATTTTATCAGCTGAATTTATAAAGACATGCACTTTTTCCATTTTCTTTTTGATAATAGAACGGCAGCACCATCAGCATAGTAAGTCGTATCTCTTTCCCTGACATTGCAACGCTTAGATTTACATGTTTTCGATGAAATCATCAAACACAAGTGGTCCAACCATTCTCATAAAACAAAAATTACATGATATTACAATATCAATGTCTGGTGATCCCATGATAATAATAAGTACGATTTCGTTGAGACAATTTACATGATTTGGTACCTGACAAAACACAACTTCAAGCGAAGAGCATTTGACACATTTGATCGACAATAATTCAAAAGTTAATTTCTGACCAAAGTGATCTCTTTGCTTTGTTAACTGGTACGGAATTATCAAGGCGTAAATTACATTTGTAGATATTTTTTTTTTCTCAGCTCAAGCGGTTTTTCTTCACTTGATAACAGCTCACTTTCACTTTTTGACAAAAAGAGGATTTTTAGCTTTTTGACAACTCAAGACCCCACATCTGTGTGTATCAGTGATTGATTTCAGAATACAAGAATCAAATTGCGCCCTGATATGAAAAATTCCCTTTTCTGGCATCTTGAATTATTTATGAGAATGTGTAGAAAAGGACGATGTGGAGAGGTAGTGGAATTCAAAGTCTTGACTTCTATCTTAGAACTGTGACAAGCTAACCCAAAGTTTGAAAATATATATATTTGAAGAAGCGTCCCATGCACATTACAATCTCCAGATTATTTAATATCATTATTATTATTATTGTTATTTGTTATTATAATTATTATCTTCGTCATTAATTTTTATTATTATCATTATTATTGTTATTGTTTTATCTTATTATTATTATTTTCATTATCATCATAGTTATTATCATTTGCTTTTTTATTATTACCATTATAGTTATTGTCATTATTATCATTTTTTGTTATTATTATTACCATAACTTTAGCATCGAGTATAATGATGCACCTTATCATAATTTTGTCTCCGTTAAATTGCGGTTATTTCAGCATGTCATCGTTTTTGCATTCAACTTTGGGAAGTTTAGGCTCTCTATACTAAATGTTTTAATTAATTTAAAGGGTAAAAGTAAAACCTCACTATAGACATAGGTAAAGATTATATTTGAATGATGACATTATTGCAATCAATTTACAAGTGTCATTGTCGAATTATTATATTTACTTCAAGTAAATTAATATAGGCTATATTACTTTAGGTAAACATATATTATGTTGCTCTCAATACATGAATTATAGGGTGATGACTTTACTCTCATTGACATGGTTTATATTAACTTCTTTAAGGTTATTTCAACTTTTTCTAAAATGTTCTTGCAAGGTAGTTCAAAGAAGATTGTTTATTATGTGATAACTTACTTAAAGTCATGTGTTTTTTTTAACGCTTTACGATTTTCAAATTTTGAAGATTTACCTTAGGCCAATTCTTATAATGAAAAAAAACCTCATACACACAAATTACTTTTATTTTCATACTTAATTGAAAAAATCGTTCTAAAGAGATCTAGTACTATGTGAAATATTATAATTTTTTTGAAAAAGTCAATTAGATTTCAATAACTCTTAAACTCCATTATTTGGCATCATAGAAAAAATATTCTTAAACAAATACTTTGAGAGCAGGGTAATATTTGTTTCCAAATATCAAGCAATATGCTACTAATCATGCTGATGTTTATTTAATTTCATTCCATATCTTTGATATCAATAAAAGAGGATTAAAGTAAGTAAACAATATTAATGGTCGTAATAATACCTATGATTGCAACAATAGTACTTTTAAAAATCACTTAATCATACACAAAACATATATTTGGTAATTGTGCAAATAGGCCTAGACGAAGAAATAAAGCTAATGTAACTAATAACACTAACTTCCGTTTAAAACCTACATTGTAATCTTTATTTTTGGTACTACTAACTTTATTTTTAAAAAAGAAGAAAATGCATCGGCATCGTGATAACTACAACATTATCAAATTAGCTATGATGGAGTATTTCTCGTTGGTTTGCGATTATGTAATATTTAGTAAAGTCCATCAATTTCCTTTGGACAAAAGTGATTTGAATTCAATCATATTAATACTTTTTAAATTTTTCTAACTTATTCTTCAGTGATTGTTTGAAAACAAAAAAGGCTGAGAATTGTATACATTATATCAAAAAGAAATATGAGAAGAGAAGAGCCTTACTTCATAGGTTGTGGGCCGGTGTTGTAGGCGCTGAGGTGCACTGGGGTATGGTTGCTGTCGTAACCCGGTAAAGATGAGTGAGCTGGTAGAGAGTGGGACGGGATCAATGTTCGTTCCCCCGGTCCACAGGGAGGGCTACGTGGGCGATACGGTGAAGGCTCCAGCGGGCCCGAGCTAGAATAATACAGTTTCTCCATCATTTTAATTCACAAAGTCACAATTTTGGAGAGAGAGTCCAGGTGTGATGATGATCGGGATATACTTTAACAAAGGTTGCACACGACGTTGAGCGAGATATTATCAGCAAATACCTTAAATTAAAGATGACGGATTTTTAAACGGAATCCATTTCCGGCGTGATTTGTTACCATTGAACAAATAAGAAAATATCAGGTATGAATTAAACGGGTTTGATTATTCAAACGAAATTTGTATATAAGCGATTATTAAACAAAACTTTTTATTTTCAAAAACAAAAGTCACAGCTATGTCGCCAAGAATTAATATATATAATTATATTAAATAGATATATATTAAGATAGTTTGAAATAGGTGCCCAGCATGTAAAACCAAAAGTGTTCTGTTTTTCTCAAGAGTCGCTTGTTGTATTGTCCACCCGCTAACTACCATCTCTTTCCGTTATTTGTTGCTCTCTGCTTCTGTGCAGTCATCTCGAGAAAATCAGAGCCAGCTTCCAATCCGATATATACCGTTAGATTCAATTCGAACCCCCCACAAATGAGAGATAAGTCCGTGCATTGTAATACCCCTCGACGCGTAAATGAACAAGATCTATGTATTGATTGAGAAGAAAGACTGACCAGAAAGCTTAGACTGGTGGCGTTTATATCTTCCACTGGTCCCTGTTAATCCCCGGATTCAGGAACAGTTCTTTGAGAACATGCTGTTTGCTTTTCATTCACGGGCAAAGCGTCTGTATTCTTTGATGAATCCCAAACGCCCTTTGAAAGCGGTCTCCCCAAAAGAAAGAGGAAAGTAAAGAGGGATATTTAGAAGGGGATAGACATGTTGAAATAATCTACCTTGAGTATTTAGGAAGATTTGTTGCGTAGTGTGATGTGTATTAGGGCAATAATTAATTATGTCGTATGAAATAGGATGGTTTGTATTTTATTAATAAACGGTTATATCCATTTGTTCATAATGTGGAAGTTTGGAGAGAAGTATCTGTGTGAGTATACAATATACATGTATATATATTTGGATGTGTGTGTGGGGGGGGGGGAGGGACCCTGATTTTGTGCTCGAAAATTCAGGGTCAGGATCTTTGATTTCGTCAAGCTTTGATTTAAAGATAGCAACATCAATATTCGTTTTCAATACATGTACATAATGCGTCATTTTACCTGAGCTTTCCATGACTACAATTGGAATTAATTTACTTATGTGATGAATGAGTATGATGAAAAAAAATGCCTAGTAAACAGCAGGAAAAATAAATTAATGGTTTTTGTTGATTTATCTTAAAGTGTAGTATCATTACTTATGATCATTCATATCAAAATAAAGTTCGGACGAATAACATGTAACTAGTTGTTCAGAGTTATCCCCCATTAAATCGATTTGGAATTCGGGCGAGCTTCTACAAGCGATTGGATTAAAGGAACATATAACGTTCTAATCTTGCGAGATAATTTGTTTTTAAAGATGGGTAAAGTTGGTTCATAACCATGCTAACGAAGTGATGAGAACATAAGAATAATGCATGAACGTCTTTTTACACACAATTTATACCCCTTTACACTACTTTTTGCAGATGTTGTTCTAACAGTATAGATGAAAGCAATACATCCATAGTTGTGAATCCTTCTTATTTTAATCGGATTCAAACTACAAACTGCCAAATTACCAACTACCAACTAAGAAGGGACCAGTACATATTATTGTACAATGCACGCTACACAATCGCAGCTGCCAAAATATAAGGAGATTGCTAAAGGCGGGGAAAATTTACTCTAGAACTTAGGGTCCACTAAGGTCTGATATTCATAATTTTGTTGTTGATGGTTACACAGTCATGTTCATCAATTTTCGAATGACTTATAGCCCTTTACATAATATTTAAAAAAAAACTTATTACAAAGGGAATTAATTTAAACGTCATAATTCAGCGATAAATCTGAGGAAAACCTTCTAGTATATTAAGCCTTCCAATGCCGCATGCTGAAACTCTGGAAAAGATTTAAGGTTATAAACTGTTAGGGATTAAAAAGTCGTTAAGGTATTTAAAGTTGTTGTTTTCGTCGACATTTTCGTCATTGTTGTTGTTGTTGATGATGATGATGATGATGATGATGTTGTTGTTCTTGTTGTAGCTGTTGTTGTGGTAGTATTCTTTATTGGATTCATTCAATACATATACATCATACAATTTATTTCAAATTACAATACATAACATGAATGAATAAATATTATCGTAATAACCCCCTTCCCCTTCTTTTGATGAATTGTGAAGGATTTTCCTCATGACCATGTCTTGCGCTCAATAATTGTGCCAAAATAATAGACACGAACGGATTTGGAACAAAATGATGATTACACTTTGCAAAGTATTGTTTTAGACTGGTAAATGGATAACACCATTACAATTTTGTTTAATCCAAAATAAAAACAGGATGCAAGTCCTGTTGAAATAATTTTGATAAAAGCCACGGTGGTTTGTTCAACCTCATAAATCATCCGCATTGAGTAATGTCTGTTTTCCGAGACGCAATTAACCATATCGATATCAACAATGAATTTGATATTACCACAAAAATTCATGATAATCATTGAAGTGTGAGATATTCTCTGCCAAAGGTTGCTATCGTTCAGGTCAAATTCGAGACAGGGATCTATTCCAGGTCAGATGTCCCGTAAACAGATGTGATCCAGGGGAGTGTTTCACAAAGACTAAGATCGACTTTAAGTTGGACTTCACTATGACAGGCAATTCATGCCACTGGTTGCTCTCACCAAAGTTAAGTCCAACTTAAAGTCAATCTTAGTCTTTGTGAAACACCCCTGGAATTGTGAATGTATAGGTCTTATAATCACCGGAACATTGCCCCCTCTGCCAAACTGTTTTTTACAAAACAGTCGCTTTAATGACCAATATACAGATTCCAACTCATTATAAAAATAGGCCTATGTAAAATAGCTTGTGTCTCATTTTCAATAATGACATGTACAATTCCCTTAATTACACCAAGTGGCTTTACACACTTGATTTAATTTATACAGTAGGCTTGCGGTTGCACCATGTGAGAGAGGGGGGTTGGGGAGTCCTGAAAAGGTCCCTCGGTAATCTTTCTTTCTTGAGTGTGTGTAGTCCTGAAAGTTATTAATTAAAATCAATGTATACTTTAAACTTCGTCATGTTCATGGAGAAAACGGTTGATCTCACATCAATTTCGTTAATATGTGACTAAAGTATAATTCACGATGTGGTTTCTATTTTTATCTTACTTTTTAGCACACAGAATAAGGTGTAATTATTGATATATCAATAAGGACATGCATTGGTATGAAATTGGACCATTTTCTTTACATTCCTAAAGTTGTATTCTATCTCGGATTGATAAGAACAGTAAAACGGAACGCATTTTTTTTTTTCGATCGTCGGCGCAGATAGCATTAGGTCTTTGTATTTATTCGAAGATATTTTATCTTTATAGCGGCTCCCCACCCCCACCCGGGTGTATAAATGGGTAACAAGTACGATCTGTTTAAGTGCTTGTGGTTGGATAAGATTGTGACGAGTGACTGGAGTTGCCCCTTAATGAAGTAGAGAATGTCTACTGTCAAGCGGAATTGAAACTAAATCCAATGGTCTGGGGTAGTAATAATTAGTAAAGCGCATTTACCAGCTATTTGTAACCATGGAAACTGGTAAGGCTTTGCGAAATGAAACAAAACATGAACAAATATCAAGCCGACTATTAAACCTGCTGTTAATGTCAGTGTTACTTTAAACTTCTCTTGCAAGAATGTTCAACGTCACTAAATAGATAAAACGCAAAACAATTCCTTATTTGGCAGGTGTTTGGATGGTAAATATATATATATATATATTTATATTTCACATGCTAAGAATCTTGCTCTACGATTGGTCAAAAGTAAATCACGTGATGAAAGATAGTTCGCCCATCATCGATGGGAGAAGAAAAGTTCGGTGCACTGTGTAGATAGTCGTACTATCTACACAGTGCAACGCACTTTAATTGTGTACGCTGCGCATTGCTCTCCTCTTTAAGCGCTTTTAGTGTTTTAGTACGCGAACTTTGGTCACGCGCGAACTAAATGGTCACACCACCATACTGCATGCGCTGTACGTATCGTACACCGTTTGCTAGCTGTTAATTGATGACTTGTTGCTCTAAAATGACGAAAGAAGTGAAATGTTTCCGATGTGAAATATAAAGCAAATAATCACCTTTTGGTTTCAGGCGACGGCAAACTATCATTTCCTTGGCGATCTGAATGTATACGCTATCTTTCCTCAACCTCGCTTTGGAAAGATAGCTACATCCAGATCGCCTCGGAAGTGATAGTTTGTCCCATCACCTTCACCAACGGTAGTTATTTGCTTAATATACAAGCCGCCATACTTGTAGCGAGTCTAAATTGTCTATGGGTTGATGTGTGACGTGCCAGGGTATTCATCCGAGTCACTCGTCACGTGATCTAATGTAGATAGTAAGCCATTCACACATGGGCGTCGCTAAGGAGGTGTGGGATGCGACACCCCCACCTATCAGGAAAATTGTCGGTAAAATTGCGCTGCCGTCGGGGAAAATGTGAAAAGGGGGAGGGGAAAAATGAGTGGGAAAGTGAAAGAAAAGAAAGGATAGAGAAGAGAAGAAAGGAAAAGAAGGAAAAAAATAAGAGAAATTGAACAAAAGAAACGGGGGGTGAAAGAGAGGAGAAAGAGGGGAGGTAAGAGCCTAGCTGAGAGAGGAGAGATGGGAGTAAGAATGAGAGGGGTTGTCGGGTGGAGTCGTCTCGTCGAGGGAGCAAGTAAGATACGCATAGATAATTGTGTTGCTGTGTCGGGTCAGTTGTGTCTGGATTCTTACCCGATCCTCGTGTATATCAATGCAGACGTTTGAACTCGGTTTGTCCGGTCGTGCCGCCTTTATAGATCAAGATAGTTATGTAAAGTTCCTTAATTAAATTAAATTACATTAAGTTTTTCCATCGCCCGATTGCTGCGATGGCCGTCTCATTAACAAGGGCCAGGTCTTCAATTTTGCAACCCGTTCCGCCGCTCTGCAAGATGTGGTCCATCGTCTGAGTCTCTTCGCAGTCGCAGAACTCGGTGAGATGTTTATAATGTGAGATGTACCCTGTATATAATGTCGGTCGGTCATTAGATGTAGCAAAGAATGAAAAGACTTTCAGTGTCTTGAAGTTCGTTAAGAACGTATATAGATCAACAATGGGCGACAGCAAACTAGATGATCTCATGATCTTAAGTTGTGAAAGGTCCTTACTGATGGCTTAAATCTGAGAGATGCAGAGGCGCTAATTACACATAATACAACTGTATAGAGAAATTTCACTGACAGATGGGATTATCATTTGAGTCATTTCTTGTTATCAAAGTCTTTTCCTAGGGTTTAGTCTCCCTTGAATATTTCTGGATATTTCTGGTTCTGGTCTTTCATGGCGCAATCATGAATATGAAACTGTATCAGAACTATGTGATTTTCAAGTGAATATCAAAGAGACAAGAATCTCACATATAACAGCAAACAGAGGGTGTAGTAAAATATGTATGTTCTCTCCGTCCCAAGTTGTTTTGGGGGACACTGACTATAAACTGATGAATGTATTATGTTTCGTTGTAATGTACAGTTTACCAATCTACCTGTTTTCTGCTTTGACTTCAAATTTGAATAATCATGTTTTGAGTATGACAGTAACAAATCTAAAGGCCAAAGCGTGTAACCGATGTACACTGTTGGTCATAAAGGTGGAAGAGCTTTTCTCCTTCTGTCTCTCTGTATCTCACACACTCTCACTCTTTCACATCGATTCTCCCGACCCAATATATTACTTCTTTAACGTTTCCCACCTACTCTAGGGGATTACAACCCATGCTCTCTTTTCTTGTTTCTTTTTCCGGACACACTTTAAAAAACCACAAGCTAATATCAATAGGAGAAGTGCATGGAAACCGTATGTGTCTATTTGCTCAAAACAAATCTCATTTTACAACAATGGGTACCTCCATACATAGAACTGTGGATAGTTTGGGAAATACTTATATAGCTCGTTCATTATGTACCGTTAGTATTGTATCAAAATAGGTTTAACTTCGTCCGTCTCTGGTTATATATATATATATATATATATATATATATATATATATATATATACTACTTTATTTGCCTTATTAACACCTTTTTTCGGTCAAGTTTATCACCTATTTCCACTTCACTTTTGTGCTAAATCATGGAACACAAACAAGTGAAATTGTTATCAGTTGCTATTTTAGGATTCGTTCATTCAGTTATATGAAAGTCTATTTAAATCATTTCATCGCTCATTCTGATCCCATGCTAACATATCAATTTGAACAAGTTAAAATCTGCAAATATGAAATATATAATATGATTATTGGATATTTAAGTTTATGAATTTTCAAGAAGAATGAAAAGGAGCGAAAATAATGGGAAAAGCTATGGTCGTTTTTTAAACTAATAATTATCTACAACACGACCCCCCAAGCTATTAAAGGCATCAGATTCTGCATGTTTATTGATATGTGCGAACAATTGGAAATGGCATATTAATAACGTAATCCGCACATGAGTTCACTACTTGCATTGAAATTTCACTTATTTCTTAAAAGTCTGTACGATTTTGTTCCACATTTATTTCTTTAAAGCCTGCGATGGTTACGCGTCATTATCTGACACGCCTTGACATTACAGAACTTACCCTAAACGTGGTCAATATAATATGATAACGATACCCACTGCACTACGTATAGCTACTTGCGCCCTCTATATAGCTAACAATGCCTTATCGGTGCCTGTTGCTCCCCATGATCCCCTTTTTCTTATGTTAATTGAGAGCTGATTTGACGAGATAACCACCTGTCAGTAATCTTGCAGGGAGGTCTAATCCCTCTGGCCAAACTAGTGCAGACGGGCTTTAAAGGTGGAATCCATGCTGATAATCATGGTTTTAATGAAGGCAGAAAAAAGAGAAATAAAGTAGTGAAAGTTTGAGCAATATCCGATTTTTTTTTTTAAAGGAATTTTTGATTTTTTTTGTTGAAGTTGTCACCAGTGAGACACAAATTGGCATCACTGTATACGTATCTTGCGAGCTTCCTTCCAATTAGTTCTGTACATAAACTTTCATAAACTTAGCAGTTATTGATGATGACGGAATAGATTTGTTCATATAGGGGTTGTATTCAAAACATATTTGTAGTATTATATTTACGAGTAAAGTACGGATGAACATTTTCAGAAAATGTGAAGAAAAAAATAGTACATGCCAAATGGGAGGGGAGCTCACAAGATACGTCACAGAGTTGCCAATTTGTCTTTGATCGATCGCACCTTCAAAAATTCACCGTCTTATTTTCAATTGGTATATTGCTCAAACTTTCACTGACCTTCTTGTCTCATTGTTCTGCTTCTATTAAAACCAAATTAATACCAGGCTTGACTCCCCTTTAATGAGAGAAAAAGAGATACACCAAATGCATCTGATGCTAGATGACATCAAATCAGTCCTCAGCTTTTAAACACTGACAAGATTATTTATTCTAACGGAGGACCTTCCAGGCTAACCTGACTTTTTCCTTTCATAAGTTGCGGATAACTTTAAATAGCCTTGTTTTTTTTGCTGCAAGACAGGCCCTTCTTTACGAACCTTATACATATTCATATAATGATGTTGATTATGCGCGTGCGCATGAGCAGAACGAGAAGGTGAGGGGTAGGGGGAAGACTAAATTCAGACAAGGATTAAGAGTCAAGAACGGTACAACGAGTCGTCTTCTTTCTCTATCAATTAAATGAAACGTCATAGCTTCTGTGCTTCGCGCGGGAGGGGCAAAACAGGAATTAAGAGTCGGGAACGGTGCAACGAATCGTCTTCTTTCTCTAATAATTTAATGAAATGTCAAAGTTTCTTCGCTTTGCGCGGGGGGGGGGGGCGAAATTAATTCAGACAAGGTTTTAGAGTAATAATTTAAGGAAGCGTCAAAGCTTCCGCACTTCGCGCGGGCGGGAAGAACTCAATTTAGACAAGGATTAAGAGTAAAGATCGGTACAATGAATCGTCTTCTTTCTCTAATAATTTAATAAAACGTCAAAACTTCCGCGCTTTGCGCGGGTGGGGGACACTGATTTCAGACAAGGATTACTGACAGTCGAGAACCATACAACGAATCGTCTTCTTAACCTACTAAATTAATGAAACGACAAAGCGTCCGCGCCTCCCGCGGGAGGGGAAGAAAAAGATCTAGCGACGCCCCTGGCTACAGGGTGCAAATACTCTTTACCTTTGGACTAAAACTAGGCGTCATAGTCACGTGGGCCATGATCACAATACGGCAGAAACCGCACAATCTTACAAATCTTACAAATATGTAAACATACAAACAGTCAAAACAAAACAAAACAACACAATACAGACCAAGTGCAACAGCAGTGACTGAATCAATTACTAAATACTGACAGCGCTGACTGACAACAAACTCGACTGTCCTTTCATGAATGAATAGTGGTGTGAACAACCCAGGGACATGTAAACGTCCCTCATAATGCTTACATAGAGGGCGCAATCTTAATACCACGTACATGCCAGATCGAGTAAGATTGTGCTTTGACAAGTTAGTAACTTCGTAATAAGAAGCTCGATACAATATTTTAAAGAATTTTTTGACCCGACTTAATCCCCCTTTTGCCGATTCACTATATACCACGTGCTGTATAAAGTTTCGGACTATTCTCGACTAAGAATAACCTTCATCGACTGCGCATATGCCTTATGAAATCTGATTAGATATGTGACGAATGATAATTCTAAAGAGGGAAAACAAGTACTGCACAGTAGTTTCCTGATATACAAAGGGCTAATATCAATCATCCGATACCCCGTGTTTTAATTGGTTTTAATGAAAATCTAAAATTTTGAAAATGGGTAATCTCATTAAACAAATATTTTCACTGGTTTCTCTTCTTTGTCAAAGAAGATGATGGAAAGCTCTTTGAAAGACAATCTCCAACGAGATAGATATAAAGATGATTGTTTTCAGATGTCATGTTTACTTGATGAACGAATTTTCCGTAATAATGACGAAACTAATAATAATATCGATCGCTGAATTGCCGATTATTATATGCTTACCGACCCCTAACCAAGTCAGTTTTATTAAGTCAGGCGAGGCTGGGGGCTAGGCTCAATTATTTAGTCTATTTGTTTAAGTGTCAAAATAGAGTCTGAGAATACAAACTTACGTTGATCGTGTAATGTGCATATCTTCCACTCGCATTGGTTTATTCTCCTTTTATTTCAATCCTGTATTCTGCGGATGTTCTGATAGATTTCATTTAATTTTCTTTCTCCCTTTTGTATCGAAACGAAATTAAACACAACTTCATTACAGGGACCATTGACGTGCTGGGTTTTATTTCATTAAGACATAATTCATTTCGTTGGTGTTCATATTGAATGGCTTAATTGATTTTCCTTTCCGTTACATGAACCCGCTGGGTGCATTCCCCCCCCCCCCCCCTCCCCCAAACAAACAAAAATTGTTCTTATCGGGGCGCTTTCACTCACTGTAAATGTATCTTCCTCCAATGGATAATGTCTTTCTTTACAACATAATCTTTCATTGCTGGTGTTCTATTCATCAGTCGTTATGTCTCCACGATCTATTCAGAAATCATCTTAAAGCCGGATTTGGCGATCCATGTATGCTTTATATGTTAACCACGCCTTTAATCCACCAATAATTCTCTTTCTCTCTTTGTCTCTCTCTCTCTCTCTCTCTCTCTCAATCTCTCTCTTCCCCTCTCTCTCTCTCTCTCTTTGTCCCTTTCTTTCTCTGTGTGTGTGTGTGTGTGTGTGTGTGTGTGTCCCTCTATCTGTCCCCCTTTCTCTCCCCTCTATCTCCCTTTCTATAAGCTCTCTCTCTCTCTCTCTCTCTCTCTCTCCCTCTCTCGCATTCTTACTGTCTCAATTTCTCTTTCCTTTTCCCTCCCTTTCTCTTTCTCATCCACTCTCTCCTTCTCTCTGTCTTTCTCTCTCTCTCTCCCTCCCTCTGTATATCCCTTTCTCTCTTCAGTCTCTCGCTCCTCCCTCTATCTCTGTCTCCCTTTATATATTAAAGCTCTTTGAATATATGTCTGTCTGTATTTCTCTCTCTCTCTCTCTCTCTCTCTCTCTCTCTCTACCCCTTTCTCTCTTCAGCCTCTCTCTCCCTTCATCTGTCTCATTCTTTCTCTCCGCCTTGCTCACATGTCACCTCCCCCTTTCTTTCCTTCTCTCTCTCCCTCTCTCTCTCTCTCTATCCGCCTATCTCAAAAGTCAAACCTTCTCTCCCCCCCCCCTCTCTCTCCCTGTCTGTCTGGTTCTTGCTCGTGAATCTCATCCAAATTCGCTGATTGGAGTTGTGGAGTTCAACTCATTAAACACGTGGTCAGCTTGAAACAAAGATATTGCTGTGTAAGACAGTCATCCATTTATTGCCCATTCAATCATTCATTACTTTAATATTATTGTTGTTATATATCATTGCATATAAAAGAACCACACAAAAGTAAACGCACTTTTTATATTTCTTTCTTTTCTAACATTACAAACTTTTTATTAACGATATGTAAACATTTCCCTTTGTTATTGGTAAAGTTTTCCTCTACTTTCCCCAGCTTCCTCCCAATCAACGCCATTGAAGAGCCCAATTTTTAGAATAAATTGTCTGCTCAGTCATGCTTGCAAGATTCCCGACCAAGCAGTCATTCCCAGCAGATTAATAGCTTTCCTAAGCAACCAACGCAGGATACAATTTTATTATCAATACAAAAATAGAGACAGAACATTATTATTACAAAGCCCTGTCTACACCAATATCTCGCCATTTTATGCCTTAAAAAAAGATGTTGTATTGCCCTTTGAGACCGACCCAAAATTTTTGAAATCTACGGTCGGCTTTAAAAAATAAAAACAAATACCGTTTTTTAGAGAAACAAAATATCAAAGCATTCATAACTGAGAAGAAAAAAAGATTTAAAAAAAAAAGATTTCCGCCCGACCGACCCATGTTTTGGCACTTAAAGGGCAACACAACATCTTTTTTTTTAGGCCTCATACAAAGATCATCAACGGTGGGCCTGTTCTATATTTTGTGTAAGGCGTTTGTTCTAATGCTCGTAATAACATTGGAATCTTGCTTTGACCAAGTAAAAATGACCTTTTACAAGTTGTATAAAATTGACGTGGGCATATTCGTTGAATTCTGTTCATCGCTCATATACAAAGAGGATAAAATAATATATTTATTTACAATTTCGTTGCAAATATTTACACTGTACATTATCACACACAAATGTACCACTTCCAAAATAAAGAATGCATTATCTTTGTAATGTCATCAATAAAACAATAAAACGAAAAAATCTACACTTTTCATCTAATTAAAAGAGCCTGTAAAAACAGAAGTGGATACGAAAGACTTCGGGGTTTCGATTAAAATCATGACAATGAATTCCTAACTAACAGAGTCAATACATTTCAGTGAAAATCATTTTTACAGTCATAGTTGTGCTGGCAAATATTTGAAACAACATACATACATGTATAATTCTAACAGAAAATATAGTTAAAATAAGTCTAATGGCAAACTTAATTGTTCATTTCTGACGGGGCAGACAAATGTACTGAGGTTGTACACCTGGCGGTCATGGTCTGTATTATGGTTAGAGGGCTTGATGGGAAACACAAATCACGCAAAACACGCGGGAAATGTTTTTTCTTGATTTGGGATACTGAGTTTTACCTCGGGCGATCACAAATTCTAAATCAGCCAAGTTTGGATGACCCAAAAGCGATTCTAGTATAACTAAATGTCGAGCCATGTCTAGGGGAAATTTTGCTCAAATTTAAACTACATTTAAACTATCATGAACACCTCTTTTGGCAGGCGACTAACTAGGTTTTGAAGCATATGAGGGAGCCAGCTCCTTGGTTTAGTTTTCTTCATCGGTGTTATTGAATACATTGTACCACATGAGCTCCTGAAAGCGTCCCAATTGGTTAACATCGCATGTCGTCACAACCTTTCGAAATTTCGCTTCTTCCGCGGCGATGGACGGACATCTTGAGGAATAGACGAACAGCAAAGTAGCAGCCCTGACTTCAGTTTCTCTTCCGTACGAGGCCAAGCAAAATCACTGATGACGTCATCAGTGCGTGAAGAAGTTTAGATCCTGACAAAGAACCGTCAGTTCGGTAAATAAAACACTGATTCAGGGCTAGCCTAATTATTGTTCGAATATTTTTCGAATGTTTTGTATTTTTGTGTTCCTGTATTATCTACGATGAAGTGAAGTACGCCAGCAACGTTGACACAAGGAGAGCAATAAGGCTGATCTTAGCTACACATGCTGTTGAAACAAAAGAAAAATAAGAGAAATATTGCATTACTCATAAAAAAACAACTGTTGTTATACGTACATGTATGAATGAAATAAATAATTGTAACATTAATCTAAGAATAGGAGAGAACTACAATAAACTGATATGAGACATTTTCTAGATACATGAACTCGCAGAGAGACGACAGTTTCGAGGAACTTATAGTTAACTGATTACAAGTTCTACAATGCATTCTTAATATACTAACAGTGAAGATGTATCAATGAAAATGAAGTTGGAAACGATGCCATTACTGTAATGTGTTACAATTATTATACATTTTTGTGAAATACCATTTTTGTTGTCTTCACCGACACCATAATCATACTCTTTCGTAACTTATTTCCCCCGTCCCCTCCTCTGAATGATTTTAAGAATTGTGTCTTTTCTCACCTGAACATTCCAGCGTTCCAGTGTACCCATCTACAACATCACCAAACGATAGACAGTAGTAGTTATTGGTCGTGCTGTCGTCGGTGAAAGATGCCCCTGACGCTTTGGAAATCTGTACACAGACGTATCCAGTAGTGTCATACATGTAGGTTGAGCAGTCTGCGGAGGGGATGTTGATCATGGTGTGGACGTTCTCGATCACGATGGTCTCTCCGGCTGTGATCCCGGCGTCGAGGTTGGTGGCCGATGTCAGGAGAGGGGTGACGTCCATGGTTTCTGCTCCGCTCGCCGTCGGGTCGGCGTTGTCGCTCACAGTGATGAGGATATCGTAAAGGTCTGAGCTACCAGCTGCGATGTCGGTGCCTCCTACGTTCTTGATTGTGACGTTGTAAGTGACAATGTTGTCCACATCCAGAGTGAATTCAGAGAAATCGTTTGTGATTACAAGACCAAATGCTTGGATGTCTGTTGAGAAACAATAAGTAATAAAAAATAAAAAAAAGTTGAAAAAAATACACGTTGAGTTGATACGTGTTTTATAATATCTTTCAGAATATTCGTGTTAAGCCATTTTGACATTTATATGATTAACATTCTTCGTATTTCCATGCAGAACATTATTGTGATTATTCTCGCACAGTTTATTTCCAATTTGAATGCCGGAATTCGCAGATAATGTTTTTATGAAAAAAAATCAAATATTCGCAGACAATTATTTTTCAATCGTTCGCAGATGTGTAGATACATATTTTTAAACATTTGCATGTGAACAATAGAAGATTGTGTTGTTGTTATAGAAGAACCTACCCGATGGTTCATCGGCATCAGTCACGACTTCGGTAATGACTTCTGTGACATCGGTGAACATGGATTCAGTTCCTGAACCTGAACTATCTCCAGAGCCTTCATCGCTATCAGAGCAACATCCTGAAATTTAAAATAAGGGGGATCGTTAAGGTTATCGTCGTATCTTATGACTTCAGGAGAAGATAATTCACAAAATTACAGTCAAACCTATCTCAGTGGCCACCTCTATAGAAAGGTCCTGTTTCCATTGGTTGGCCTTTATAGACAGGTTTCACTGTACATAGACTACTACAGGAAAATGCGAATCAATTGTCTTCACGGTTATTGTAACGAGGGTGAGTACTGTGATATCAAGTAATGGACACAATGAAGCAGATCGAGTATTTGCAGAAAATGAAAGTGTGAACACCAATTCATGGAGCGGAAGAAAAAGCCTTGGATTTTTCGATGACTTCACAATTCCGATTGCGCCGACTTGGTTGAAAAAGATTTCATTAACGGAGGTCTTAAGACAACACACCATTTGTGAATATTGATTATTGTGCGGATTAATTAAGATCTCGGTGACGCAGTGTCCAGTGAGTTTGCTCGTGAACAGAGAAGACTGGTGTTTAAAATACAAACTCGTAGAATTTACTCGATGTAATGATAAGAATTGCAAACATTACCGATGATTTGTAGAGTTTTGGAAGAGAATTTTGTGTTTACTTACCTGATGTGAATAAACAGACGAGTGCGACAAAGAGGAACGTCAGATTGGTAAGGTTGGCCATCTAGAAATTGGAAGAAAAAATGATAGAAAGTCTACATTAATTTGTGTTTCTAAGTAGATGATTTCTCGGACTGTAAAGCGAGATACTTCATAAATCGCAATTCATTTTGCGACCAAGAGTGTTTGGACTAAGATAAAGGTAATCAACACGTGCAATCACGTTATATCATTTCATTTGTACTCGTTATGAAAGCTTTCTACGCTGTATGTTATCTTTATATCACCGTACATCTGACATTACGATCTTTTTCAAGTATCGCCGTCACGCAACCTAGCAACCAATTACACAAACTCTTTTTTTGTTCTCCTTTCTATTCTTCTCTTCATCAGACAGTTTTGATAGTCGTGGGCGGTGTTACGTAACAAGGCCATTGCTACGGGTTTTTCTTTTAATACTTGGTGAAAAGAGGGCATAGATATTGATTAGATGTGTTCATACGTTAAGATCAAACAAGTGAGCGTCGTCGCGCCGAGTGAATTCACTGAAAAGCGAGATTAATAAGCCTTAAGAGTTTATCACGATCGGGATAGAGAATTTCATTAGCTTCTGACTGAAATGATGTAACTACAAATATAGGGCGGACGAGAACATTGAGATAAGCGAAACGAATATGCCCATACTGAACGATTTTTAATTTTTTTTTAAAGTTAATGTTTAATCACTGTTCACGTATAAGCATCATGCTTAGGTTACAATGGTTACAATAGTAAAACTTAAACCTTCGTGAATATACCAACAAACGTTTACAACATTTTATATCTTACATGTGTAACGAAACGGTTTCGAAAATTAAAAAGGAATCCTCGTACTGGCTTGAAAACAAAAATTATTGCGAATAATCAAAGTTTTATCTTCACTGTTCGTGAAGTACAATCACCAGCATCTGGTTGTCGCGTACGTTGGGTTAGGGTCAAACGCCAAACGCGCCTAAATATTGAAGTGTGCTTCGGCTACAAGGTTATTAATATCTAATGAGTTCAATTTGGTTTTGAATATTTTCACATGTTAAAACTCTATATATCAACGAAATCCGAACTTAGATGGAGAAAACAAATAGCAAAGAAAGATTGAGTCGAGGCAGATAGTCCGGAGCTTTCTGGAGATGCGTGTTTAGCGCTCGACGATATAAGCGCAAACATTCGTCAATCCATGATTTTCTTTTACGGTTTCGATATAAAACTGTTGAGACATCATCATTCTTTATAATAATAAGCTTGGTTTACAAAATAGAATAACGAACTGATTATGCTGGTAAACAGCATAACGCTGAAATATATGTTTCAGCGCATACACACTTAATTGTCGTTGATTAATCAGAATAGCGTATCGACTTAACGCACCGTTTTGTATCTAATGAAACTAATGTATAGTTCAGATTATTATCAGCCGAAAACGAAAATAAATTGCAGTAAAGTCGACTTTAAGGGAAGAAAATGCCTCGCTGTTATGAAATAATTTAAGCATATCATAATATGCTTTCATTAAACAATCATACAAAAGTAATGTGATTGAAAATTAAAGCAGTAAAGATAAAGTGTTGAAATATTCTACTGTTATACAACAATTAGTTAATGAAAACGAAATTGAAAATTAGAAAACACATCAGATTATATGGAGTTGTATAAGTATGTATCATAATTCGATTTCGTTAAGTTGTACCTAAGTTTTACCACGTGTACCTTTCCCGCCATACGATGAAAGTCGAGCAAAAGGTACAAGAGTAGGTCTATATACATGAAAATGATATTTAAAAAAGAAAGAATTGCTTTCGACAACTTACTTTTGAGATTTCGTTTCCTGGTGACTTGTTTTCCGATGAATAAAAATAAATTGTTCCTTAATTTTTTCGGCTTGGAAGTAAGCGTCAAAATAAAATCCTGCTGCCGCCGCGTAGAGTTGATCAGACAATGTTCCTGTCTCCGACTGGTCTTTCTTTTTCGGGCGTCTTCGCTCTCGGTGTCTGATTGTTTGGCACAATCCGGTTCGTTGCTAAGTAATCACTTAGCAACCACGGCAATATTGCCGCAATCGCTTAGGTGACTCTATAACGTAACGAAGGACGCTCACAACATGGAGGCATGAAAGTGTTACGCTTCATTTGCATCAGAAAGGGAGATGAGTTAACAACAATTAATGTCCGGATAATGGAGCAACTCTGCTCCAAGACGCAAACTTTCAATGTGATGGCGATTCGTGTTGAAACCAAATATAACGTTTCATCGTCTGAGGTTTCAAAACCATGCTCTGATCTAGAGTAGATATTAACCGCCTCAACCCGGTCGCCAGCACACTCAGGCACTGATTTATCGAACCAGAAGGTTTTACAATAAACCTCATAAAATATTCATAAGAATATTGAATATGACCACAAATCTGGCACCCATGGTCGATATCTTGGACACCCCTACCAAAGGGAAGAAATCGACCGGTCCTTTCATTTGGATGGGAGAGCTTATTCTGCGTAATCCCCTTTGTAAAGAATCTTGTTTTATTGTACTCCGTAGGAGGAAGGGACCAACGCAAGGGCCTGCACAATAGCTCTATATAATTACGATGGGAGAAAACTTCAATAAGAATGCATGTAGTAAAATGTGTCTTAGGAGCGTTCGTTCACGGGTTCCTAAGAAGGGAGACATTACAAATTGTACTGTTTATGATATCAAATGATCATTAAAATAGCAATTCAGCCCAAATCCCTTCAATTGCTAAATTGCACTACACTACACTATTTCTCGGGCTCCAACCTGTTTATGCTTTCCTTTTTCATTTTTTCTCTCTCTATCTTTCCTTCTCTTTCTTTCCCCGTCTTTTACATAAATTTTATTTTCAATACCATCTACCCCTTTTTTAGTTTCTTTCAATATATTCCACTTTCTGCCATTCTTCATTATGAATTTAGCAAATAAGAAGAATATGATATTCTTCTTATTCGCTAAATCATTCTAAATCAATTGACGTGGATGGTTTGTCATTACATACGCAATTTCACTTTGACTATTAAAACATTCCCCTGTTCGTTATACCTGCTTTTTTGCTGTTAACCGTTATCATTATGTCATATGGTTTACCATTTTTTACGTTTCAAACATTTTATAATTTCTTTTATATTTATTCTCCATTACTTCGATTTGCCACTTTTGGTTTCTTTCCTTAAACAATTCTATTCCTGTCCTCTCACCGTCAATCGGTATTTTGATATTATTTTGTTACATAAAAGATCTGATGATAATTTCTGGAACTAAATTTTTCAAATTTATCGTCAATTTATTTAATTTGTTTTTGTTTACAACGTTTCATGAAGTATTTACATCATATTATGAAAAAAGGTTTTACAATGGTAAAGCTAAGTTTTATTTTTGTTTTCGACTTTGACGGGAGGGGGAAACGTGCTTCTTTTTTCAATGCCTTAAGACAAATTTGATGTGATTTGAAATAATAATAATAATGATAATCTGGATTTATATAGTGCTTAATACGGAATGCCGACTCTAAGCCTTTACAGATATTATTATCTGAAGTCCATATGTTCCTATTATCTAAATATTTACCTATTTGGGGACATTCACGATTAAAATAATATATATTTCATTATTAAATTAAAAAAGAAAGATATCGAATAGTGTTAACAAATACATAAAAATTGATCTTACTCCCCTACTGTTTCGTTATAATCTATGCTAGTGCAGATTTTTTAAATGAACATCAGTCATGTTGATAAAGCTATAACGTTTTCCTGTGTATAAATCTTGTGGCCGACTTATGTAGACAATGCTTTTTCGTATTATACAGAAAGAGTTTTAAGAATTTTATAACGGGAGGGGATAGGGACCTAGAACTCAGATGAACAATAAATTAAGTACCCACATGTGAAAGTAAAACAAAATTAAAAACACAACACGACCTAACGGGACAGAAAGAAAGGGCAAGTCAATATTATAGCATGCACCATGTCAACAAGTGCGTCATATACCCTCTCCCTATCTCGCATTGGTGTATCAAATTGAGCCATATTGTTGGATTTCTGTTTTATGCCATGTATATCAATGTTCCACTCGTAACCATAGGATGATACAGAGACAAAGCACCCTTGCCTCCCCGCCCTACACCGTAAGTAGCATTAAGATAGCCCTCAAGGATAGCCCGACAGACAGGCGAATTACGCTTTTGTTGGTCCTTTTTTGTTGATCTTGTTGCCATGTAAATAAAGGTAAGTACTGAACAAAGAACCAGACCCAACCAAAGGCAAGAAATCGTCTGGCCAAAATCCGTAATCTTTCAGGTATATTCAGGAGGGGGGGGGGGGGGGGACTAAAATGTTGCTGATGATGGAATGTCAAGTACGATGGATTAAAGAACTAGTCGTAACAATGGATCCTAGTTCTGGGACTTAGATCTAGGCTGTAGCTTTTAATCCTATTAAGATGATTAGTGATGGACATATTGCAAAACACGTCCTTTGAGATTGTGGCTATTATAACCAAACTCTGGGTCGACCAGGCGCGGATCCAGGGAGGGGCCGAGCGTGCCTTGGCACCCCCCCCCCCCGCAAAAAAAAAAGAGAAGAAAGGAAAAGAAGGGAAAGGGAAAAGGAGAAAAAGGGAAAGAAAGAAGAGGAAGAAGAAAAGAAAAAGGGGAAGAAGGAGATCGGGGGGGGGGGGGCCGAAAGGGCCTTGCCTCCCAGGCTGTTAACACCCCCCCCCCCCCAATCAAAACAAATAAGAGAGAAGGAAGGAAAGGGAAAGAAAAAAAGGAAAAGAGGAGATACTGGCGTACTGATAGGGGGGGGGGGGGGGGCTTGAGAGAAGTCAAATCCAAACGTGGTTTATATCTAATCCCAGAACGGTGGATTACAAATAATGCTGAAATGACATAATTTCCGAAATTTTTCCCCACTTTTTAGTAAATTATACGTTTGTATGTGTTTCAGGGCTCAAATTATTTTTTTGTCCACGGGGGCTCTTCCCCCGAAAAAAGAGCCCCCGTGAGCCTTCTCACGGGGGCTCTTTTTTATACAAATATCCATTTAATTGGTACCTATGATACTCTTCAATTATTTGCTATTTCATCATTATCATTTCAATCAGCATTTTCCCTCTTACAAATTTACAAGCTACATAGCTGTTACTGGTCTGTGTATATAATATACGCATACAACACTGATCTTTATGATGTCTTTAACGTGACATATCTTCTTCTCCCCTTGCAAACGAAAAAGAAAACATGGTCATTAAAAGGGATTAAGCGACAAATAATGATTGTGATTCAAATTGATGCGAATATTCGTTTGAATAAGCACTGCTATTCACCCGAAACTTCTTTGTATAAACATAATAATACATAATACACTTCTCCTAATCTCAAAGTGATCTTACAGCACAGTGGCAGAATTGCATGGCTTAGATTTGTAAAAGTCGTTTTTACAAAGAAGATTCTGGTGAAAAGCATTGCTTATTCAAAAAAATCCTTGCATCAATTTGAATCACAATGATTATTTGTCGCATGGTCCTTTTATTAAATAACCTTGTTTTCTGTTTTTTTGCAGAGGGAGAAGAAGCTATGTCACGTTAAGAAATCATAAAGATCAGTTGTATTATGCGTATATACATATGATACCAGAACAAAATTAATGTTGATTATCAGAATGTCATTTTGGAATACCTCTATACAAATACCACATTGTCTTTAGTCCGTATCAGTATTAGTATGATCCAATATAAGGCTATTATTCTTTATTTAATTCAGTATAATGCTTTTCCTCAAAAATAGTTTTGCTATTTTTTTAGGGTCGAGACGCTAAGAAATGGTTTCAAATGTACATTACACGAACCCAGAACCATTGCAAAATGATGGTGGTTCTCTCTCTCTCTCTCTCTCTCTCTCTTTCTTTATTTTAATTATGCATTATCAACTACATATAAAGCAGCAACCAAAAACTTAGGGTCATCTGAGAAAGGTGAAAGTAAGAGTTAAAAAGAAAGTCATGCTAAAACGGCGCTTCACTTCCCACCGCCCCCTGAAAAAAATAAAATAGATTAGTAGTCCTCCTCTCCAGAATCCACCTCCCCCCCCCCCCGCTTTAATATAGGATTTCCCGGCCAAATTCGCGAGTTTGTCATTCGAATTAATTTGTCTTGCGTTCAAATTCGACGGTTTTAGTGCAGTCAGGTATATCTCGGGTTTATATTCCCTTTTCTAGTTTTCAAATCTATGGAATTTTCGTTAGAATCTACGTATGTTTCATTCAAATTAACGAACATTGTGCTTCTTTCGCTATTTGGTCATTCAATTTGGCGCAACACAATTTTCTGACAACGCGACGATGTACTTCTAGCATTCTAATTCATTTGTAGCATTCAAATTAGCACTTTGTGCACTTAAATTGATGGTCATTATACATTTCTCGTTTATTACACACTTTTTATAGCTCATTCTTTTTCTTTCAAGATTGTTTTTTCATGTGTATTTCATCATATTTCATTTTCTTCCATTTATATACTTATACTTATTAGATCTATCTAATATTCATCAGCATTTAAGTTTGATTATTAAGAAGAAAAAACGACTTGTATCTACGGACCTGATGGTCTCAGTATATTTGTAAACGTTCATGTAAGGAAGTTGTTTGTCTTATGTTTCATCATAAATTTATCACTTAGATCTAGGCTGTAGCTTTTAATCCTATTAAGATGATTAGTGATGGACATATTGCAAAACACGTCCTTTGAGATTGTGGCTATTATAACCAAACTATGGGTCGACCAGGCGCGGATCCAGGGAGGGGCCGAGCGTGCCTTGGCACCCCCCCCCCCCGCAAAAAAAAAAGAGAAGAAAGGAAAAGAAGGGAAAGGGAAAAGGAGAAAAAGGGAAAGAAAGAAGAGGAAGAAGAAAAGAAAAAGGGGAAGAAGGAGATCGGGGGGGGGGGCCGAAAGGGCCTTGCCTCCCAGGCTGTTAACACCCCCCCCCCCAATCAAAACAAATAAGAGAGAAGGAAGGAAAGGGAAAGAAAAAAAAGG